GCCATACCGTAGGAAGAAGCATTTCACTCAGGATTTCCAAAACTGTCACAAGGTCCCTACGCCGTCCAGTTCTCGTTAGGTCGGTCTGCCTAATTGCAATCGGCCTCTAACTCCCTGTCGGCTACCGTAACACATCCCAACAATGCCTCGAATTCCAACGGCCGGCACAAAATGGGGCAAAGAACGGATGGAACGTCGGTCTGGAATAACGCGCGTTGAGGCACACCTCTGCGCCGCACCGCTACCTACGAATGAAGGTCGACACTCACGAAGTACGTGCCCGTTATACATCTGTAAGCGGCCTGCCTCCGCCTGAGCTGCTCTTGCGCCTGGAGTTCGGACGTTGGCATATTTTTCAACGCCGTGGCAACGGTATAGGCAACGGAGAGAACCGGGAAGCGGTGACGGGGAGAACAACATCGGCACGGGTAGACCGGGACGCGGGCAGGCAACACAATGAAACGCTACGTGCCATTTGCAACGCGGGAAATGAACAACTTGTACTTGTACGCGATTTCATCTTGCCCTGCGCGTCCGCCAGTTCCGTGCAGGTATGAGGAGCCGACGGTAAACCACCCGAGTCCCCTACAGCTTCCTTGAGCCTCGCCTCCGACTCCTTGCTGTCGTCTTGTGCCAAGCGCACAAGACCGGCCATCCTTGTGACAGCAGCTTCGTGATTTTTCGCGGTGTTGTCGTGAGACAGAGCCACGAAGTGGTTCAACTCCCTGATGCGGCCACCGTTGAGACGTTTGTACTCGTGGGCGTCGCTGAACTGGGGTCTGTAGTCCGCGCTCGAAACATACGTCATAACAACATGAACGGTCTGACGTCCCGGGTCCGGTGCGACCAGCGGTTGGAACAGGGTCCAATGCCACTCTCCACCGTTGACGTTCTGGACGCTGGTGACTGCGAATTACGGCATGCAACCGACACGCGAGGAATTCCAACAAGCCGTCAACAAGAAATCACACGTAGCTTCGCGAAATTTTTGCGTGCGCCCTCACGCCGGCAGGTTTGCCGCCATTATCGGGTGACCCCCGTGCAAAGCTAGTGATGAAAACTAGCGACGAACGTGAAACACCAATCGAACACGCGCAGATGGTTTTGCTCAAGGAACTGAAACGTGGAACGGGAATGACGGTACTAAAAATTAACCGAATTCAAAATTAAAACGCCAATGCCGACAGAACGAAATACGCCGTGAGAATTCCTGAAGAATTGAGAGCCTCACATGGCACAAATACGCGGACAGGTCCCCGGATGACGGTCGCCAGCATAGAAAGCACGAACTGCTGGAGGAATACTTTATCCCGAGCGATGTGGTGCAGACATCCTAAGAACACCAGCCGTGCGCAGTCACGCGACGCCATT